TTTTATCCACTGCACCTTCACTTCCTCCCTCCTCCCTCACTTCCTGCTTAGCTGAAATTAAATCCTGGTTCACATCTAACTTCCTGAAATTAAACAGCGATAAAACAGAGTTTCTACTCATTGGCACTAAATCCACCTTATCTAAAGTTAACAGTTTCTCACTCACCATCGACAACTCCTTAGTTTCTCCCTCCCCTCACGTCAAGAGTCTGGGTGTCATTCTTGACAGCACTCTCTCTTTCCACTCTCACATCAATAGTATTACCCGGTCTGCATATTTCCACCTTCGAAATATCAACCGTCTCCGTCCATCCCTCTCTCCACACTCTGTTTCCATCCTGGTCCACAGTCTGGTCATTTCTCAAATCGATTACTGTAACTCTCTCCTCTTTGGTCTGCCTCACAAATTAATCTGTAAGCTTCAAATGGTTCAAAATTCAGCTGCCCGCATCGTCACCAAAACCCCCTCATTTAACCACATCACCCCAGTTTTACAGCAACTTCACTGGCTTCCAGTCACATTCAGAATTCAATTTAAAATATTGTTGTTCACTTTCAAAGCTATCCACAACCTCGCCCCTCCTTACCTGTTAGATCTCCTGCACATTACCACCCATTCACGCTCCCTTCGTTCTTCCACTTCCATCCACCTTAACGTGCCTCTTGTCCGCCTCAGCACCATGGGACACAGAGCCTTTTCTCACTCTGCTCCCCAGCTCTGGAATGCTCTTCCCCCGGACATCCGTAACATTGACTGCCTTCTGACCTTCAAATCAAAACTCAAAACTCATCTGTTCAATCTAGCCTTTTCGCTTTAACTGTTATTTTTAAATGTTATTTTCTTTTTGGTTTAGTGTTTTTTAATAGTTATTTTATATTGTTTAGTACTGTGTTTTTAGTGCTGTGAAGTGTCCTTGGGTGTTTTGAAAGGCGCTGACAAATAAAATGCATTATTATTATTATTATTATTATTAATTGGTTCCGGCTAGAAATAGTCGGACTCACCTCTACGCATGGTTCTGGCTCTGGAACCAGTTTTCTTGAGAGGGGCTGGACACTCTTCCACTCTGGAGTTGCCCCTGGTGAGAGGCGCCGAGCAGGAGTGGGCATACTTATTGCCCCCCATCTTGGTGCCTGTGTGTTGGGGTTCACCCTGGTGAATGAGAGGGTGGCCTCCCTCCGCCTACGTGTGGGGGGAGGGGTTCTGACTGTCGTTTGTGCTTATGCACCAAACGGCAGTTCAGATTATCCACCCTTTTTGGAGTCCTTGGAGGGGGTACTGGAAAGTGCACCTCCTGGGGACTCCCTTGTTCTGCAGGGGGACTTCAGTGCTCATGTGGGCAATGACAGTGAGACCTGGAGGGGTGTGGTTGGGAGGAACGGCCCCCCTGATCTGAACCTGTGTGGTGTTCTGTTGTTGGACTTCTGTGCTCGTCATGGATTGTCAATAACGAACACCATGTTCAAGCATAAGGGTGTCCATATGTGCTCTTGGCACCAGGACACCCTAGGCCGCAGTTCGATGATCAACTTTGTCATCGTCTCATCTGATCTGTGGTCACATGTCTTGGACACTCGGGTGAACTACCTGGTAGTGAGTTGGCTCCGATGGTGGGGGAGGATGCCGTTCAGACCTGGCAAACCCAAACATGTTGCGGGGGTTTGCTGGGAACGTCTGGCAGAGTCTCCTGTGAGACGGAGTTTTAACTCCCACCTCCGGGAGAACTTTGAACATGTTCCGGGGGAGGTAGGGGACATTGAGTCAGAGTGGGCCATGTTCCGTGCCTATTGTCGAGGCGGCTTACTGGAGCTGCAGCCGCAAGGTTGTCGGTGCCTGTCGTGGCAGCAATCCTCAAACCCGGTGGTGGATACCATCGGTGAGGGATGCTGTCAGGCTGAAGAAGAAGTCCTATTGGGCCTTTTTAGCCTGTGGGACCCCAGAAGCAGCTGATGGGTACCGGCAGTCCAAGAGACATGCGGCTCGGGTGGTTGCTGAGGCAAAAACTCGGGCATGGGAGGAGTTTGGAGAGGCCATGGAGAATGACTTCCACACAGCTTCAAGGCGATTCTGGTCCACTATCCGGCATCTCAGGGGGGAAAGCGGTACACCACCAACACTGTTTATAGTGGGAGTGGTGCGCTGCTGACCTCAACTCGGAATGTCGTGGGTTGGTGGGCAGAATACTTTGAAGACCTCCTCAATTCCACCGGCACATCTTCCACTGAGGAAGCAGAGCCTGGGGACTCTGGGTCGGGCCCTTCAATCTCTGGTGCTGAGGTCACCGAGGTGGTTAAAAAGCTCCTCTGGCAGGGCCCCAGAGGTGGATGAGATTCGCCTGGAGTTCCTTAAGGCTCTGGATGTTGTAGGGTTGTGTTGGCTTATGCGACTCTGCAATATTGCGTGGAAATCGGGGGAAGTTCCCCTGGATTGGCAGATCGAGGTGGTGGTCCCCCTATTCAAAAAGGGGGACCGAAGAGTGTGTTCCAAATACAGGGGGATCACGCTCTTAATTCTCCCTGGTAAGGTCTATTCGAGGGTTCTGGAGAGGAGGGTACGTCGGATAGTTGAACGTCGGATTCAGGAGGAGCAGTGCGGTTTTTGTCCTGGTCGTGGAACACTGGACCAGCTCTACACTCTCAGCAGGGTGTAGTGGGAGTTTGCCCAACGAGTCTACATGTGCTTTGTGGACTTGGAGAAGGCGTTCGACCGCGTCCCTTGGGGAACCCTGTGGGGGGTACTCTGGGAGTATGGGATACCGGGCCCTTTGATACGGGCTGTTAGGTCCCTGTATGACTGTTGTCAGAGCCTGGTCCACATTGCCGGCAGTAAGTCGGACTTGTTCCCGGTGAGAGTTGGACTCCGCCAATGTTGCCCTTTGTCACCGACTCTGTTCATAACCTTTATGGACAGAATTTCTAGGCGCAGCCAAGGTGTTGAGGGGATCCGTTTTGGTGGCCTTAGGATTGCTTCTTTGCTTTTTGCAGATGATGTGGTCCTATTGGCTTCATCAGATCGTGATCTACAGCTTTCGCTGGAGCGGTTCGCAGCCGAATGTGACGCGGCCGGGATGAGGATCAGTTCCTCCAAATCCGAGGCCATGGTCTTGAGCCAGAAAAGGGTATAGTGCCCTCTCCGGGTCAGGGAGGAGGTCCTGCCCCAAATGGAGGAGTTCAAGTATCTTGGGGTCTTGTTCACCTCAGTTTGCAAATGTCCTCTATCAGAGACTGAGACCTCACAGTCCAAGAAAGCCAACTTGCCATTTTTTTCATCGTCTCGTGTGAACTTGATGTATTTATCCACATAGTTGATGTGGTCAGTAAAATGTTGGACTTCCTACACTCATCTCCAGGCCAGCGGTCACTCTTTCAGTGATGAAGATGTGCACATCCTGGATAGAGAGGAACGATGGTTTGAGAGAGGAGTAAAGGAGGCCATCTTTGTGAAAAGAAATCGTCCATCGTTAAACAGGGGTGGAGGCCTACGTGTTCAATTGTCCCCCTCATACAATGCTGTGATTGCTAGTATCACTCAGCCCTCTGTGAATAGTAAACAGCCATCAGTGTGCTAATGATCCATTGTTAGGCTGATGGTCCTTCTTGAGCATGTGATCAGTTAGTTTTGGTTGTCAGCAGCAAAAGTGGTTGATCCACTCTGAGAAGGTGCTATTTAAGAGACTGAGCTGAATACAGCACCTCAGACTGAGGAAGTCTCTCGGATGAGAGACGAAACGTTTCTACATTTTTTTGTTGTTTTGCTTTGTTTTGTTTTTTTGAATGTCCAGAGGACCAGATTTAACTTTTTTAGATTTTTCTACCTGGAATATTGAGCATGCACCAGGATGAGTCAAAAAACAGGCGAGGGTTCAAGGCAAGGCAAGGCAAGGATACAAGATACTATGATAGAAGGCTTCACTATCGGGGACCGTGAGTGGTGTAATAATTCGGCACTGGTGGAGAGGGAGAATGGTGCTTAAATAGAGACATGAACAGATGAGAGGCATGAAGGTTGATTGCAGTGACTCAGCAGAGTGGGTGTGGTTAAGTGAGCAGGCAGAGGTGCAGGTTGACAGGAGATGAAAATAATAAACATGAACAGAAACTATGACCAGAAGGGCAGAAAACATGGCATGTCATGAAGGGGCAGGGAAGTGAGCAGATGGAGGGCCAGTGGGGGCCGCTGATCATGACAGTTCCTCCATTTTGCCTGAGTTATTACCATACTTGCTGCCATACACGTCGCACCGCCTTATAAGTCACATCGGTCCAAAAATGTCTAATGAAGTGGAAAAAAACATAAATACATCACATCTGTTATGCGTCACCGCTGACGCTTCACGTTTGTTATACATCACCTCTGATAACCTGAAAGTGTGGCCTGGTGTTGTGCCAAAAATCAATTGGCTGCCAAAATGGCAGCCACAGGAGTGTGCACAGCAGGACTTTAACAAGAATTTAACAAGATTAACACTTAAAAACAATTATTTGTTAGCTCGACATTATACTAAAGTTGTGTCTCAGTTGAGCTTTTCTTTAATAAATGCACTTTAACGGTCAAATCAGCTGCATTTCACCTGGGTGGTGCGGTGCAATGCAGCTGATTTGATGTTTGCTCCAGGAGTTCTGGAGCGAGACAAAGGCATCTTGTTATGGCAAGCCAAGTGTGTCATTAATAGCCACTTTTACCTGAATGAGACACTTGTCATATTACTTGACCGCCCTCTAGTGGCTAAAAATGGTAGTGTTCAATATTTTCCTGGTCAGAATGAATGAAATTGTCAGATCTCAGTCAAAATTTGGTTTATAAATATGGGGAAAAAAACAAATACATTGCTTCGCTGTATAAGTTGCAGGCATGCTCATTTATGTAAAAAGCTGTAACTTAAACAGCGAAAAAAACGGTACCTGACAACTGCCACACTTAGTGCTGTTAAAGTCAGGCATATCTTGAATGAAAGAGGTGATTTACTTATTTATTTATGTATTTATTCATTTCTTGGCAGTGCCCCAAGTCCTGAAGAGCTGCACAGAGTTTATAGAGAAGCATGGTGTGGTGGACGGCATTTATCGCCTCTCTGGGATCGCCTCAAACATCCAGAAGTTGCGGTAAGAAGTTACTCACAGATTGAGGTTGGCATTTGAAGCAAAAGCTTTCTTTGAATTCGTTTTTATTTCATAGAAATATCAGAGAAGTTTCCATTCACTTATTTCAGGCTTGTAATGATTTATTTTAAGAGTTTGAATTATGCATTTTCTCTAATCCACACAGGGTTTAAATAATTTATTATGTATCCATAATCTCAAAAGTAGCTGCAGGGGCAGAAGTTTGTCCTTTTTCTCAACAAAAATGAATGTGGTGCTGGTGAGATGATTCCAGCTATGAAGTAATGTGGAACATTTTAGTCTTTCTCAGGTCAGACAGGTTGAGGGGCTCCTGGAAGCAGCTTTTGGAAGGGGCAAGGAGAGTGCTTTTAAAAAAATAACAGATGGAAGATCGTGGTTAATGGATGGTATAGGGGAAAAAAATCAGTTAAATCAGAATCATGTTGTTTTTTAGAGGAACAGGACAGTTTAAGAGCAGAGCAGAATCTTAGATCGGCAAAAAGTATTCCCGCTTTTAATTTGTTTTTCAATCCAGCTAAAGGTGAGATTCTGTAACCATCAAATCTGGAAGCCCAGAAAATAATGCTGAATAAGGAGAGATCACAAGAACTCACCCCCAGATAGAGAACAATCTGTCTGATGAGTTGTGGTAGTTAGGATGTTGCTATTTGGAGCTATTCTTTGAAGATGCAATGAAGCAAGTAACACACAAATCTAACTTCAACATATTGCACCTTGGAAGGCGTCTCTGTGACGTCACATAGTCCTTATAATGAACTCTGTTCTCTGCTCTTAACTGTTGAACAACTCGCATGGATGACTCCTGCTTTGTTAACCCCCCTGCTGTCTTTGGATCAAAATGACCCACAGGTTGCAAAACTGAGACGTAAGACTGGTTGGACATAACAGAAAGGCAACAGTAGCTTAATATAAAACACTTGATTCAAACAAAGACTGAACACATGAAACCTTCAAGCAGACAGTTCACATACACCCACCATCATCACACAATAAGAGCTTGACAGAACATTTCCTGGTCTCATGAGTTTCTATAAACCCCACAGATTGTTGTGTAAAAATCGCAGTAATACTCTCCAGCCTGTCCAGCCCCAACAGCCACAGCAGAGTCACTTAAATCTTTGTCGTCGTGCTGCCTGATTTGAACTTAAGTGGGTTGTCTTCACCACATGGACATGCCTAAAGACATCCATATGCTGCCACGTGTGATTGATGAGCTCTTTGTGTTAACAAGTCAATCTTATAATGTCGACAGTGAGCGTGTTTAAGCCTGTATGCATACTTTTGACAGTGATTAGAGAAAAATTCAGAATAGGTTAAAAGTTTTGCACCAAAATCATTGAAGTTGTATAATCATACCACCATGGAAGAAAAAAAATTCTTCTGACGTTCATGCCCATGATGGAAACTTTTGATCACAACTACCGTAATTTCCAGACTATAGAGTGCACCTGACTATAAGCTGCACACACTAAATTTATTTATTTGTTTGTTTATTTATTTATTTTAATGTGTACATAAATAAGCCATGCTTGTGTTTAAGCTGTGGGTGTTCACATTGTAACATGAGTGGCAGCACACAGCTACTGAGAGAGATGTGCAGCTCTTGATGTAGATCAAGAATCAACCACCAGATGGTGTTTTATAGATGGTATCCATATTATTCCTAGCCCCATGATGCCTTGCATGAATTGTGGGCACGACTTCCGATGCAGACCAGAACCGGCATTTGTTTTATGTGCCAAAGGTACAAGTTAATGTAGTTTCTCTGAGCATTGTGGGTTTAAATTTAAACATGAAGGAACACCACCTGTCAGAGCTCAAATAGGACAATATAATAATACCACTGCAGACGAGGGATGGAGGACGACCTGAAGAAGTGGCTGCAGATTACATCTACTAGGATATTTAGCTACTTATACTAGCATATTCAGCTACTTATACTAGCATATTTACCTACATCTACTAGCATATTTAGCTACTTATTCTAGCATATTTAGCTACTTATATTAGTATATTTAGCTACTTATACTAGCATATTTAGCTACTTATACTAGCATATTTAACTATTTATACTAACATATTTAGCTACTTATACTAGCATATTTAACTACTTATATTAGCATATTCAGCTACTTATACTAGCATATTTAGCTACTTATACTAGCATATTTAGCTACTTATATTAGCATATTCAGCTACTTATACTAGCATATTTAGCTACTTATACTAGCATATTTAGCTACTTATACTAGCATATTCATATATTTATACTAGCATATTCAGCTACTTATACTAGCATATTTAACTAATTATCTACCATATTTAGCTACTTATACTTGCATATTTAGCTACTTATACTAGCATATTTAGATACTTATTCAATTCAATTCAATTGAATTGAATTCAATTCAAAAATACTTTATTAATCCCAGAGGGAAATTATTTGTTGTTGTAACTCTTTATCCTCATTTCATTAAGAGATGTTATAGATACTGATGGCTGTAGGCAGGAAGGATCTCTTGTAAAGGCCCATCCCACAGTGGATCCTAAGAAACTGGCTGCAGATGCTGTCTGATCTGTCCACCCAGATTCGGCTGGCCTCTCGGTTCTCCTCGGGCTGTAGGACCGCTCAAATGCTGGGCAGAACTCCTCCCAGAGCGATGGCCACTCCTCCCAGCAGTCTGCCGAGCTCCTCGTCACTGCGGACAGCCAACTGTAGGTGCCGAGGGATGATCCTGTCCCTCCGCTGTCATGAGCCGTGTTTCCTGCTAGTTCCAGGATGTCAGTGGTCAGGCACTCGAGCACAGCTGGCAGGTAGATGAGAATGTGTCCACAGAACATCCTTTTCAACTCACTTGAGATTTGGGGCTGTAGCTGAGATATTATTTGAGCTTTTGAGATGTTAATCAGTTGCTGTTGGTTGTAGAAAACTGCCTTGTTGCCATGGTTACGCATCATAACAAATGTCCAAAACTAAAAAGGTTTCAGTAAAAATCCTTTCAGTTGCACAGCATCCGATACCAGAGGAAACAATCATCCAAAAAATGTGAGTTACATCCAGAAAAAGAGGAATTAAAGTTTCCAAAAGCAAAATCTCAAAATGAAAGTAACAGAGCTGCTCCAACATGCAGCCCCCTTTAGCAGCGCAATTCTAGAACAAAAACTTAACTTATACTAGCATATTCAGCTACTTATACTAGCATATTCAGCTACTTATACTAGCATATTCAGCTACTTATACTAGCATGTTCAGCTACTTATACTAGCATATTTAGCTACATCTACTAGCATATTTAGCTACTTATACTAGCATATTTAGCTACTTATACTAGCATATTCAGCTACTTATACTAGCACATTTAACTACTTATATACCATATTTAGCTACTTATACTAAGTAAGTAAGTAAGTAATCTTTATTTATATAGCACCTTTCACAGACAATGACATCACAAAGTGCTTCACAAAGTAAAAGTGAACAACAAAGTGCTTCATAAAATAAAAGTAAACAAAATTTAAATAAAAGCCAGTCTGAATAAATAAGTCTTAAGATCATTTTTGAAAGAGTCAATGGAATCTGAGCAGCGCAGTGACAGAGGGAGAGCGTTCCAAAGCCTCGGGGCCACCACTTGGAATGCTCTGTGTTTTAAAATAAGTTCTTGGTACCATCAGCAACATTTGATTTGAAGATCTCAAAGTCCTGATGGGACATAGAGGCTTCAAAAGGTCCAGTAAATATTTGGGAGCCTGACCATGAAGTGCCCTAAAAGTTAGGACCAAAATTTTAAAATGACTCTTGAAATGCACAGGGAGCCAATGCAGGGAGGCCTGAACAGGAGTTATGTGAGCTCTTCTGTGGGTTCTAGTTAGCAGCCTTGCTGCAGCATTTTGCACAGATTGAAGGCGAGCTAGGGAAGATTTGTTCAGACCCATTAAAATGCTATTACAGTAATCTAACCGAGATGAAATAAAAGCATGAACAATCATCTCAAGTTCCTTCTGTGATACAATTCCTCGTAGTTTAGAAATGTTTCTTAAGTGGAAAAAACAATTTCGAACTAGCAATTTGCAATGATTGTCCAAAGATAAAGAACTATCAAAGACAACACCCAAATTTCTGAGATTATTATTTACCGAAGGATTTAAAAACGTAAGATACTGCCTGATTACTGGGATTTTATCATCAGGGGCAATAATAAGAGTCTCAGTTTTATTTGCATTTAACTGCAGGTAGTTGTCATTCAGCCATGTTTTGATCTCTAACAGACAGTTTCTGAGTTCTATCAATTTATGGAATTCGGAGGCTCTAAAAGAACAGTATAGCTGAATATCATCAGCATACAGATGGTAGGACACATTAATGTAATCTGATGCATGCTCAATAATCCAGGTAGAAAAATCCAAAAAAGTTAAATCTGGTCCTCTGGACATTCAAAAAAACCCAAAAAACAAAACAAAGCAAAAAAATATATAGAAACGTTTCGTCTCTCATCTGAGAGACTTCCTCAGTCTGAGTTGCTGTATTCAGCTCAGTCTCTTAAATAGCGCCTTCTCAGAGTGGATCAACCAGTTTGCTG